TTCGGATGAGTAGACCTCATTCGCTAACACCGTAAGCATGTGACGCAGTAGGTGGTAGAAAGGCGGATATAGTAGTAAAATGTGTGTGGTCGTGGAGGCCTGTCAAAGGAGCAGTATTAATGGCACGTGATGCGTTGGTGGGGCTGTAGTAGCCTAGACATCGAGGTCCAACTCACCGACTTCTCATTCCTCCTTCACCAGATATTGTCGCCTTGGACAGATTTTCATGAACATGGTCCTTCATCTCCTTTTTAATTCACTCTTGTCTCTACCCTAAGATTGACGCTTGCTGACTAACATAGTACTTGTTGTCAGTTCTTAACGTGCAGATATTTGATGTCTCTTTTCTCACTGCTTTTGTGTTTACACATCAGCTCTTGCAAATTTTAGCCCCTAGTACAAGTGCAGGAAAATAGAGGCCTTAGTAGGATATAGGTCCTTTCTTTTTGAATGGTTAGCTGAGGACGGTCAAAGTGAAAGTGATTTTGAGCTCATCCATAGAGAGTGGATGTTGATTCCCCTGAAATTGTGCTACTCATACATTGTTGAAAGGAGTGATCTCTGTCGCGGCATGATTTAGGTGGTCTCGTCAGGCTCTGGAAGGTGGTTTCGATAGACAGGTGATAGATTTCATCGGTGGAGGTGTATATGTTGCAGGCCAGTTGCGAGTGGAGGCTGGTATACTTTGTCACTGAGAATTTTACTGTGATGCAGGGTACAGCTGTAGTGTAGGTGTAGAGTAAGTGATTGTTTCCATTTAAAGGGTAGCAACCTGTTGGTCTTAATTGCTGCAGCGCCGTCTCCATCATTAATTTACTCATTGCCAGAAATGACGCATTCAAATTTAAGTCCATCCTGTATGCACTGGAATTATTCACAACCAAACAAATGGATTCCTTTTCGCATCTTTCGAGCCCTCAGATAATGGCTCCCAACATTGGCCGACAGATAGAGGGAAGAACAGACGGAACGAATTTGAAAAGCCTTGAAGACTACTCACGTATTCATGCTATGTTAAGGCAGATTAAATAAGCTTTTCCCGACGCCAAAGTAGATACTTCTCACAAATCAAGCAGTATTTGTCCTCTCTTATGCTGTTTGCCGCATTCCAAACTTGTCATTTTGGGTTTTAACTAGTTGAGTCAGCAGAAGTAATTGGAAGAGTTTAGGAGGTGAAATCATTGGCTAAAAGTGAATTGCAAGCTGTATGAATTTTATCATGAAGTATGCACAGGGGGCTTTGAAAGAACCTCAAACGCGCCTGCACTGATGACCTGGTGAATACCAGCATTGGACATGCCTTTGTAAACTAGGACATAATGCGTAGCTGCATATGGGAACATATGGGATGCTTGTATGCAAGCAAGCTATACTATTATATTTTGACCTCAGATGTAGTCTCATTTGCATTAAATATGTAGCTTGACGCTGATAAAATACGATTATATTTACATCATGGCATCAAATATATGTTAAATTTATTT